AAAGTCTAAAACTTAAATTTCATTACCTGCGTGAATTCGATAGGTCGTAAAACATTGCGAGGATTTGATTCATCGGACGCTTTATCACTTTTTGCGGCTTTTTACGGCCGAGTTTTTTCATGGCAGTGTAGTAGTGTTTTTGACTTTCGGTCAAAAACATTTCTAGCACCCCACCTTCGTACTGAAAACAGGGATAAACAGGATGAGAATAGGGTAAGAGGACGAAAATGCTTCAGCGTTCGATGAAATTATCGTAAAATATATAGAAAGCTACATATTTCTCAATCGGTTCTTTTATCGATCGGTTCTTACGTTCCTTACCTTTTTCTTCAACATGTTAAAGTTGTCTATAATTACTCCGATAAAGAGATTCAGTGTAAAAAAGGAGCCGCAAACGATAAATATCACAAAGTAGAAATATGCGTAGATGTTCGCTTCTCTCTGAGGTTGAAGATCGACGCCTCTCGCGTCCACTGCGTCCTGCATCACTTCCATCCACCCTTCGAAGGTAGCTACTTGAAACAGAGCTAGGTAAGCTATCCCAACGTGATCGAACGTAATTTTACTGTTCTCCCAAGAGTAATTCTTCCTCAGACAGTCGTCTTTCGTGTTTACGATCTGAGAAGCAATCGGTTCATCGATTCGAGTTTCCCTTGTTTTCGCTTTTTCCATTTCATTTCAATTCGACATCTCTGCGACATCGATGTCTCTTCGATGTCTCGTCGAAGCAGAGAGAAAATGAAATGTAAGGAGGCAGAGAGAAAGTACTCTTACTTACCGATATATCCAACAATTCACCGTACTCGTCAACGCATTTGAAAAACTTGCCGCCAAAAAATTGCACACCCATAATAGAAAATATCAGCCAGAACACGAGACAGACGAGGAGCACGTTGAATATACTAGGTATCGCATACATCAACGCGTTCACTACGATCTAGCAAGGAGAAAAAAGAAACAGCCCGATACTTCTAAGCTCTCAAGCTTTCGAATCGGTCTACCAGCAATCTACCAGCAGTAGTCTACACAGGAATCTCTTACCCTCATGCCTTGCCATCTCGATATCGCTCTCAGTGGTCTCAGTGCTCGCAAAGTTCTCAGTGATCTTAGCACTTTCAAATTTTCGTTCTCCTCTATCAACAGACTAAATGTCGACACCTGTTCAAGAAAGATTATAAATTACGATTGTTGGAAAGACACGTTCGGGCGTCTTCATCATCCAGAAAGTAACATGCTGTTTGTAAGCTCGCACGTTCAACGCAAAAGTATCCGCTGTGAATTTATTCTAAAACGAAAGTGTTGCTGTTTGTACAATTAAAACGTAAACGGAAACTGTTTGGCTACAAATGTTCGTGTCTTATGTTCAAAATTCAAAGTATAAGAACAGGGTATAGTGACTAAATAAAAACTGAGCAACTACTTTCATTTTCATAGCAGGCTGGTGAAACGATGATAACTGAATTGCCGTGCAAAGCTGTGTGAATAGACTCGTGAGACTCATTTCAAGCATTTTGCAACTAGTCGGGGATTGCACTATTTCTGTCAAATCTTGCAGTTTCTTCTGTCAAGCTTGCAGTTGCACGCTGTAAAACCAAAAAGAAAAAAATGAACTATAAGACCAATTAACGTATATGTTTAAAAATGTACTTTTAATTTGTTATAATTTAACATTAAGTTTTTGGTAATTCTAAGCAAGCTTAAGTAGATCAAGTAGAAATTTTAATAACTCGAATTGATGGTGCGTACGCGTAGCTACAAATATGCAAAGCTAGACAGAAACTTTCAATTTTTATTTACATTTCTTGAAATTTTCCTTCGTTTTATATCATACCAAAAAAAAAATATATATATATATATAAATATTCAAAAATATTAAATATTAAAAAATATTCATTGCAACGATGGAAAATAGTGCAATTTTAATCTATCGATATTATGAAATGAAAAAGGTTTTTGTGACTAGTCGTAAAATATAAACTTACAATTGCTGTGCGAAAATTAACAATAAAATCGCTATGAATATACAGGGTGGTCCATTTAAGTGACTATCTAAATATCTTTTCGAATTGTGATGATGTAAAAAATATTTCTTGCAAAAGGCTAATAAGAATATTTTTTTCAAGGACTTTTCAAGATAATTGATGTTGTTTTCATACAACTATATATTTTTTTTTTCATTGTATCATGTAGCTAGTGAAAATATACGTTCACGTATGTGAAGAACATGATCTTAAAAACTTAAGTATAAATTTACCTCTATCGAGATCACAGACGATTTTGGAGCCTTATATTATGATACACCGATCAGGATTTTAAGTTACTAGAAGAGATTATCATTGACGATGTAATGAAT